GAGAGAGAGAGAGGAGAGAGAGAGAGAGAGAGAGAGAGAGAGAGTAATGCTGATTGTGTCACATATGCTTGTCATGGTACAAAGCTTTCTTCTAGCACGCAATTAATTGATTTCTACCTATTTCTCAAAAATAAAATAAAATAGAGTGATAGATATCAATAATTGAGTCCTTGTCTCCATTTTCATATGACCAACAGACCAAGCAATGCATCCCCCTATTATCTATCAGATTCAGGTTTGCCGCATTTCGGAAAATCATCAGCCTAATGTTGACATATCAGTTTATTTAGGATAACCCGTATTTGAAAGTATGATGTGTAATGTTATGATTTAAAAAAAAAAATGTGAATGATATTGAGAAAAATGTTAGTGGTTATTAAATGATTCTATTTGAAACTATCGGATGAACTTATCAAAGTCTCATCCGTTTTATATTATAGATATAGATAGATTATAGGTAGTTTGTATATCTAGGAATATAGTATTAAATCAGCCTCGGCAAAAAGGCTCGTGTTCAACTGATGGGAACAAAAGTCCACGGCCCATCAAATAAATAGCTGGGCCTACTCACTAGGTGGATGTCCAGGGCCGACTTTGTGGGTAAGTCCATGGGCATGTTTTTCATTGCCTTGGCCTAACAAGCTGGTGTTCATCGGTCCATTAAAATTGATTATGACTGAATGATGCCCCCAGCCACGTGCCAGCCATTGGCGTAAGTCAATCACATATGCCAAAAAACAATGTTATGCTAATATACTAGTAGGTTACAGAAGAAGAAAGTCCCTCTCTTTAACAGCCTCACACTCCAAATTGCAAGTATAATTGAGAGAGAGAGAGAGGGAGGAATAGCCGAGCAGTTTGCCCTATTTTGAAGTTAAAAAAAACATCATATTTATACTTATAGATATGCATCTATATATATAATAGTGCTTCACATGTCGAATTGCTCGATTTGGCTGAGTTCTCTGCAATGGAGGCTAGGGATAGAATATGACCAATAAAAATTGCAACAAAAAGAAAATTAAGAAAATGAATTTAGATCTGCTCAAAATCAATCCCAAATGCCAAAACACTTAAACACATACATGGATCTGAGAGAGAAGTCAAGCTATTGCAATGAGGCAGACGACGATCTAAGAGAGGGATGTACTCAACGAGAGGTGGCTCGATTTCAATCCTTGATTTCTTTGATGATAGAACCGACGATTCTCTTAAAAACACCAGAGCTACTATGACAAAAGAAATTCAGGGTGAGAGAGAGAGAGTATCTGAGAGAGACGATGGTGCATTTAGAGAGACAGAGAGAGTGATGATTTTTTGATTTTCAGAAGAAAATTCATTAAGAGAGGGTATCGGCAAGGGAGCGTGAGCGTTAAGATGAGGCTAGGTTAAATAAATTTGGGGAAACAATTTAGGGAATCACACCATTTTCTTATAGTGTCAGGAGTGACGTGCACATGGATTACACACTTCCATTAGGTGGCAGAAAATTGCCATTTCATTCTGTTGTTTGTGCAAACTTCAGATTTAGCTTGACAAACACTTTGTTACGTTTTAGTTGTACCCAATATTGCCTGGACTCTCTCTTTCTTTTCTTCTATTGTTTTTCATTTTTGACTCTCGGTTTCTATTTCAGAGGAAATAAATCTCTCATAATTTAATCTAAAGAGTTGTCAATATTCATATTCAAGACATCTAAATTTACAATTCGTACTTGTTATTACTTTAGTTACTCTTAGAGTTTGTATGATGTGAGATTTAAACTCTTATGCTCTGTTTAGTAAGGTGGAAGAAAAAATTAAAGGATAAAAAATGAGAATAATACACTTTATATCCTTCAAGAAAAAAATATAAATAAAAAGTAAGAATGATTAATTTTTTTTATATTTGGTAAGATACAAAAAATATTTTTTATATTTTTTTATTCCTCTCAATTTTAGAGAATTGATTTTGGTGAGTTAGAAGAAAAATTTATCCATCAATTTTTTTATCTTTTATATAAAATATAATATTTTATTTATTTTTTTAATTTTTCATTGTACTAATCGACTAATTCATATACTTCTAGGCAAAGAAGAAGAGGGAGGGGCAAAATAAAAAACAAAAGCGGCCATAGACTCAGTAAATAGAGTCACACACTAAACACCGATGTCTCTATCAAAATTTCAAAGTTAATTATTAACAGTAAACTTTCATAATGCTTGAAATGCTATCAAGCTAGCTAGCCGGCCAACTGGCTTCTCAAAACTACTTCTATATATTCGTTTTCCTCAACATTACAAAGTGACCCATATCAAACTCTGCAAAACCACACCAAATTCTGAACCATTCGATGGATCGATTCAATTCTCTAATAGCTGTGTTGTCACTATTGTTGAGTGTTTGTGTCTTTCCCTTCTTCGCATCAGCACAACTGAGACAGAACTACTACGCCAATGTCTGCCCAAACGTCGAAACCATTGTTAGAAATGCCGTAGCCCAAAAAATTCAGCAAACGTTTGTTACAGTTCCTGCAACTATCCGTCTCTTCTTCCACGACTGCTTTGTCCAGGTAATAACAATCAAACACGTGAGGCAATAGTAGAGTTGACATTAATGAGAAGCTTGTTGTTTTTGTGTTTGGAAATATAGGGTTGTGACGCTTCGGTTATAATTGCATCTTCTGGAACAAACACAGCTGAGAAGGACCACCCAGACAATCTGTCACTGGCCGGAGATGGATTTGACACCGTGATCAAAGCTAAAGCAGCGGTTGATGCAAATCCGAGTTGCCGGAATAAGGTCTCCTGTGCTGATATTCTTGCCATGGCCACCAGAGATGTCATTGCAATGGTTTGTACATTCTTTATGATAGGTTGCAATACGGGTATGAGAAGTTAATGGCTATTGAGAAAACTGTACACAATTCACTAATGAATAAGAGCATCTCTATTTTTTTTTTTTTTTTAAATTTGAAATTGAATAAAAAAAAATTAATTTTTTTTTCTAATGTTAGACCCATACCCATATTGAATCAAGAAAGATTTTTTTTTTTTTAATTTTTTTCTCAAATTAAAGGAGATTCAAATTCATACCTAAATATTTAATTGTGAGATTTCATCTATTTTTAAAGATCCAATGGTCATATTTTATCTTTTTTTAATTTTGAATTTGTCTTTATTTAAATTTGAGTTTCTCTTATTTTAAATTAGAGTTTTTCCATTGGAAAAGTTTATACTAAATGAAATTTTTTATCCTCTTTTTTTTTTTTTCTCAAATTTGGATAAGGGTATGAATCTCCATGGGAGATGGTATAATGCTATTTATGAGCATGCTGCTTTTGTTAGTTTTTTGGGTGAAAAACAAAGTAAATAAAAAATTAATGAATTGAAATTAATATGTTCTCGATACGAATTCAAAATATAATATGACTTGATCAACACGAATATTAAATGGATCAATCAGAATCATATTACAAGTTTGAGAAACACAGCACACAACAATGAATGGTTTTATTAATGCACCATCCATCCATGGCCAAGTGTGATGATATTCTATGCAAAGCAGTCTGGTGGACCATCATATGCTGTGGAATTGGGAAGACTGGATGGCTTGAGCTCAACAGCATCAAGTGTTAATGGGAAGCTGCCTCAAGCAACCTTCAATTTGGACCAGCTCAATGCCTTGTTCGGTGCCAATGGCCTAACTCAGACGGACATGATTGCTCTTTCAGGTAAACACCACTTATCAATCACTTTCAGTATGGCTTTGTGGGTCCCCCAGCTGACAGACTATGGGTTTCTGTTGCCATTGTAGTTTAGTTAAAGACCAGTCAAGCCAGCTTGCATTTCCCAGATTACAAATGGATTAAGATTGAGCATTTGTTGCTTATAGAAAGTCTCTTGTTGCACATCACCATCGCATGTTGAAAACATACGATGCATTCGTGGTATCGTGTTATTGGTGATCCGTAGTGTCATTAATCAATAATAATATATAATGTACAATAAATTTTACTATTTTAATAATCTTTAATAACTACCATGTGTTATTATTAATTAGTAATCCTTCGTATTATCGATAACATGATATCATGAAATATTGAATATTTAGTCCATCACATGGTACACAGTCAAGTCAGCAATAGATACTACCATGGTTGGCCGACATGAGAAAAAAAAATATTTGATCTGAAATATTTATATATATATATTAAAAAAATAATTGACTATTTAAAAAAAATAGTTGAAATTTAAGTATAATTTATTAAAATTTAGTTAATTAAGTAATTGAATCAGATTTGAATTGTTAACGAATTTAAATATTAATCAAGAAAATAAAATCTGTTGGTTTATTGTATCAAAATTTTAAAAATCGGATTCGGATCAATAAAAGACCGAGTCAACTTCGATCCTTTGATAGGCTTACATTGAAACAATACTAAAATTCTAACGAAAAATTTAGACCAAAAAAAAACTTGTTAAGAGCTTAAAAAAACAAAGATCGTAGTTTAAGGTGCTTTATTGTGTAGAATTGAAAATTCACCACCTCTGTTATTGCCATCAACTGACAAAATAGGTTAACAGTGAAATTGATCCTAACTATAAGGGTTCTAGTTGTAATTATATATTTTTGTATAATATGACTGAAGCACAAGAATTATTCTTGTATGTTGCACCACATTACCGTGTGCAATCTCATTTGCAGCTGCCCACACCGTTGGATTCTCTCACTGCGACAAGTTTTCAAACAGGATATACAATTTCAGCCGTCAAAACCCAGTGGACCCTACGCTGAACCGGGACTACGCTGCCCAGTTGCAAACAATGTGCCCCACAAATGTGGACCCAAGGACCGCCGTCGGCTTCGATCCAAACACTCCTAATACATTTGATAACGTGTACTTCCAGAATCTCCAGCAAGGCAAAGGTTTACTCACCTCGGATCAAGTCCTCTTCACCGACCCGAGGTCCAAGTCCACAGTAGATACCTGGGCTGGAAACTCCCCGGCCTTCCTGGCAGCATTTGTCCGAGCCATTACCAAAATGGGTCGGATCGGAATTAAGACGGGAGGAAATGGGAATATTCGACAAGATTGTGGGGTATTCAATTAAGCTAAATGCTATGGAAACTAAAGAAAGCTTTAAGCTAAATACATCTACGTTTCTTATGGAAGTTAATTGATTTTTTTTTTTGATCATCAATGTCATTCTTAATCAAAATTATAAAACCCAATTGTATCATCTCATGTTGTTTTTATGTTATTTTGATTGTAAATTTATTACGCACTTGATTTATAGATTTATTAGTTATTTTTTGTGTCTGAAAGTATAGAATAATAAAAAAAATAATTAATAATAAATATATTTATATTCACACTCAAAATTAAATTACAAAAATAGAGGAGAGAAAAAGAATTTAAACCCCATTTGTAATAAGGCACTAGTGGTGGTGGTGGCAAATGGTAATGATTTGTGATGGATGACAACGATCAACTTTGATGGTGACAGCTTTGGGTGGCAATGGTGATGGTGGTGGTGGGGGGGGGGGGATAATGGGTGATGGTGGGACAATGGTAATGATTGTAAGGTGACAACAACGGTGGTAGTTGTGGACAAGATGGTAGTGGTAGGGGTGACGACAGTGGTGGTGGTTGTTGTGGCAGAGGTGATGGTGTGGTGGCGACAACGATAGTGTTGGTGGTGTGGTGGGGGGTACTTATGGTGATGGTGAGACAGTTATTTTTTTTTAAAGTATTTATGAGAAGTCATAAGTGTTATAAGTACTTTTAAAAAATCACTTCAAACATACATTTAGGAGCTTATTTTTTTCTATTAAATTTAGGGTGTTAATATTAATTATTAAATTAATTTTAAAATAAAATTTAAAACGATCTTAACCGCGAATAGAAAAAATCATTTTGTTTTTCTTTTGAGATTTAAAATGTATTATACTTTATTATATTGATAGTATTAAAGATATGTATATAAAATATATACATTACACTGACTAGTATTAAAAAAAATTAACTTTTCATTTGAATTCAATGATCACGTGTCGGCTTGAATTGATTAGTGGTTAATCAAATGACAATCTACTATTAAACTTTAAAATCGTAGGCTGAAGCCAAGTTGTTCCCCTCCTTACATAATTCACCAGAAAGAAAAATAAAAAACAAGCAGCCCACTAACAAGACTTGTCTTATGTCATCAGCACTTGTTTGGACGCAGAAGCAGAATACCTTAATCTACTCCTCCTCCTATAGGTCAATCATTTCAACTAATTTTCTCCAGCTACGCTATAGGTGGGGCCACCAATTATGTACATTGTACCAAGATGATAAAGACCATAAGGTTTCACATGAACGAATGAAAACCGGTCCAAAGTCATCCTTAGGTACCTAAAATGAACGCAAACCCAACATTCTTCGTTGAGGGCCCACAGTTATAAGAAATCTAGAAAAGTAACCCCACCCTAGATATTAGATGATACGCACCGTTAGCCTTTTCCACCTCCTCCAGTTGTTCAAGTGCCCCTATCACGTGTCAAAAGAGGGAGGAAGGAAAAGAGTCAGGCGTGGGGGGAGGGGGAGAGAGAGAGAGAGGACATACACACCGAAAATTTGATTTAGACCCGATTAAATAAAAAATTTATAATTTAATGTTTAATTCATTCACAATACATCTATCAAACAAATACATACAATACTCAAATAAAACAGCATCCACTCCGATAATCTGATTTGGATATGGTAGGTTTCAGATAATTGGAAGCTGCACAGCACCTACTCAGATGTAGCTGTTGCCAGATATCAGAAAATCTGATTTGGAGACAGCAATAGCTTACCAAATGCAATCAGCAAACTTCGGCAGGAAATCTGAAATCAAAAGGTAAACTTAAGAATGTAATGACATGTCAGCTGCAATAGGTCGAAATTGCACATTTGCTGGCTTTGTAGTCCGAGACCAACGAAAGTTCATGGTCATTAACATTTGCCTGATCAATGAACCATTTGAAGTAATTTCCCAAGAGGTTCAAAATGAGTCTAGTCTATTCAAAATGTTACGTTCCCAATCATTTTTCATCATCGATCTTTCTTTACCTATATATATAGAGACAAAAAGAGGGTGGGGAATTGAACAAGCAAACAGTGAGCGAAAACAACAGTTTATTCGATCTCCATTAGTTAAAATTTGACAACTGCAGTGACCTCAGCTCTGGTCCAAATAAAGCTTACGAGTGGCAGGTAGGCATAACTCATAAGTCATAAACAAGAAGAAGATGAGCAGTAGTATAGATATCATTTGAAAGCCGCCTCCAACTAGGAGTGAATGCAATATCTTCTCCAATGTAACCTCTCTGGCAAGGCAACATTGGATTTGTGGTTTGAAGAGGACCAACATAAAGCAACAAGGTTCAAAATAAGACTATCACCTGGTTATTTCCTGTCATAGAAAGCATCACACTATCAAATTGCAGAAGTGACAAACCATATCAGGACCCGCAAAATGCATGCGCCAATATATTAGAAGCAGTTTGATTAAGTGGCTATTCTTTCAGTTCAACTGTGAGGGGACTGTTTATGGCCATCAAAACATCTTTTGCGAAGTGATTTTATGTCTCTGTAAGAGAAATAGTACTACTTATATGGCAGGAAGATGTTAAGCAAAACAGCTCAATGACCTAGAAACCTCGATATTAGTACCCTTTAATCTTATTTTTGTCAATTTCAGGACCATTAGGCAGTCAGAGTGTCACACAGTGAAGCTAGAAAAAACAAACAAATAACCCACAACATATACGAAAAAAAAGCTAGCATCAATTATCACATAACTGGCTATTTGGGTGAAAATTATCAAGTTTCAGTCGCTGATTCAGGAGGACATAGTCATATTAAATCGCACTGCAGGAGAAGGGGAAGACAGATATCTTCACGTTTGGAATTGCAAATTCCAAGGAGTGCATCCACATCAATTGAAAGATGACATCGAATAGCGAGTGAAACTCCATGAATGGGCAAAAAGGGTGTTGAGGAAACCTTAGTCAAGAGGTTTCTCTTTGAAGAATTGCTGTTCTTCGCTCAGGAGGAGCACATTTTATTCTTGCTTCCTGCCATTCAAACCATTGCCTAACACACCAAAATGATAACAAATTGTTATAATGTAACCACACATTAATGGTACAATATGTCTATTAATTTGAACTACAATTTTCACATCTAATCAGGAAACCCAAGACGAGATTACATTACAAAATTCCAGTATGACAGACCATTATGGTGCTTTTCTTAAGGATTGCCATTTTTCCTCGTCTCTTCACTAGAAAATCCGCATCATAGATACTCACCAGCACATTCCCTTTAGTGATCTGTTGTGCAGGCTAATTGTGTTTAAAGAGGAAAACTTACTTCCTTGATTTTAGCATGAAGAATTCAGATGTTGTTGCTTCCTGCCAAACACATTGCTTCTCTGTTAAAAGCAAATGAGCAAGCTAATGGTGAAGTTAGCACTGTACCACACAGAATCTGTCCCACAAGCATAGAGATGACGATTGAAGGTGTTGAGGCAGCATGCCATAGCATGCATGTAGGGAAAGCCACAGCACCTTTACATGTAACCACACAGGATGGTGAACATTGACACTACAAAATTGTTTCAGAAAATTTATTCATTTTCAAATGCTAAATCAAACCAACTATAAAGATTGTATGCCTGCCTATTATAACTCACTTGAGTAAGCTTTGATCCAGCAGAAGAAAAAAATATTGTATTTTGCTATTCGTCTCTCTATCTGATATCAAGCTTCAGATTACTCCTTAGGTAGTTGTGATGAATGCAGCCATACCTACCCCTTAATCTCATAATTTAGATGACTGGAGTCAATGTAGAGAATCATTTCTTCTCTTTTGTCCTCTTTAAAATTTTTCCACAATGGGACCTACACTATATGGGGTTTCTTGTTGTAAAAAAGAGAAAAAAAAATAAAAAAATCTTTTGGGTAGAAACATATGCAGTGTCATCCACTAACTTCATAAATGTCCTGTATTAGTTGACGAAAAAAAGGTCACAACCAAAGTAGCAACAAAAAAATGTCAAAACAATTCATAAAGCTCCTACATATTGCAAGGTCTAGAGAGGTAAGTGGCAGGCAGGCTTAGCCCTAGCGGATGATCACTTGCCATCAATCTAGGTTTGACCTCTTTCAATATTAGTTGACTACACATCCAAAATAACTCATTTGACGTTTGGATATTGAGAGGAAACATAATCGTGCACCCAATTGCACAAATTTGCCATAATACACACCTAATAGAAGGGGCCATAAAAACTAGTATTCTTATACTCTGCAATAAACACGAAGAATAGCAATGATCTCTTTGTTACTTGCACAGAAATTTTCAGCACCAGTGCGCAACAATAGAGGAAGTGTGAATATAAAAGTCTAAATTCCACATTCAACATAACCACCCATAGGTCCCATACTCCCCTGCCAAAAAAAAACAAAAACAAAAACAAAAATAAAACCAAAAATGAAATGTAAAGATAATGAATTTCCATTAATTAGTGGATCAACAAAGTCCCCAATCCACAGATAGCAGTGAAAAATAACAAAAAGGCATATCTTGTTTCGAATTTTATCTGCAAAAGACTAGTGCTTTTTAGGTTTTTCGTAAATGCTGTTCTCTGCATAATGTGCTTTGCAAAAGAAGAAGAATATGATTTCATAGCCATATGATTGCAAATATCACTCAGAATATATCCTCGTTATACAATGACTAATGAAGGTCATCCTCAGGCAGTTGAGGTTAAAACTTTATCGAGTAGAATAACTGATAACTATCAAGAAGCTTAAGCTATCATGTATCTTCTACCACAGTTCTTAGCATCAGAATAAAGAAGGAGGATCTTCATTTTGGGGTGGGGAGAAGGAAGGGAAGGAGAAATAATTCTGCAGAGAAGATTGAGGCCAGAGCAGTTGGAATACCAGAAAGAAAAAGAAGAAAAAAAATTCAACAACACAGGAATACCAAAATCACAAAAAAATTTATAACTAATCCTATCAAAACAATAATTATGATACTTTAAGTCCTATAAGTTGTTGAAAATTCAGTGGTTAACGATAGTCATTTTCCACCTCTTATTCTCTACTTTCTGTTCGCACTTGTGTGCCATTACTTTGATGTCAATTTGTTTTCTAGAGAAAGAAACCTGCCAAGTATTTACCTGATTCTTGAAAAGTATTCATGATTTAAACTTCCGCCTCATATTCAACCACCAAAATAATATCTACAACGGTACTTAGCAGGAACCTAATATCATTTCAAGTACAAGATGTTATAATGGTCATGCTGATTCTCATAAGATAGAACTGGAGCCAAATAAGTAACTGAACCATTTGGAAAAACCAAATGGGAGAGTAAAAAAGGAAAAGAAGAGCATCTTAACAAAAACTGTCAAAAATCACTCAATTGATTTAGCTCAGCCTAATGTTCTATATAAGTCAAGCATTCAAAAATAATCAGTTAATTCTAGCCCACTGGTGGAGAGAATACCATAAAATGAATGACAAATTCATAAGTATAGGTCTGGAAACTCCAAGATGCAATTTATTAACAAATAAAAATTCAATAACATAAAACAACCTATAGATATTAGTTGAACAAGGCCACTAAACTATTTGTAATGGCTAGATTCTTACAATTGTCCATGTCTTTATGCTTTACCATGTCACGGGTCCCATTTCAGGAACAATCAGCATTGAAAAGTATATACAACCTAATCTCCTTCATCCAAAATTTTCTGTAGCTTGTAACCACGTAGATACTTCAGCACTGCTGGCATAATGGTGTGAACTTGGCTTTTTTATCATAACTTGAGATGGCTTAAAGGTTAAACCCACTGTCACACCCAACTTATTAGTTAATCAATTCGAATAGATTCCTCTGATGCACGCAAGAAAACCTTCTCAAGTTGTACTGGCCAATCTTCCCCAAGTATTCTGGGATTTGACTCCATTGTAACCCGAAAATCCAACAATGATGCGGAAAAGGATTTGTTTGGATTTGGCACATATGCTTTGGGCCTGATCCCATTACAGCCAGATGGAGCCTGAAAACAAATTTGGTTTAGGTGCTTGTGCTCAGACCTTGAACTGGCAAATTCCAAACAGGGCTTCATCAGTCTTTTCATAAATATATCCAGCCCACTGTTCAACAGGTTGACACAATCCAATGAGATTTCCAAACCCTCCATCTCCAACTTTTGTCCCAATCGTTTCTTTAAAGAACTGGTATCAGGCAGCTCACCATTGTTATGACAAGTGTCAATGTTAAATGAAGGAGCTGATCCACTACGTAGTACTTTCCGTGTTCCCTTTGTGTGTATGGATATGCCAAGAGGAGCTGTGACTGGGATTCTACCATAAATGCGAGGACTTCCAGCTGCCTGCTCAACCTCTTCACCCTCTTCCACAGAGCTAACTTCAGCAAGGGGCCTGCTACCTAAAGAAAGCACAGTGGCACTTTGCTGTGCTTGAACTTTTGGTAACAAAACTTCGCATGCAACACTCTGTGTCTTCCCATAAGGCCCAAGAGGACTTGGATGGTCCCTAAGCTTTCGCTCTCGAAGATTAGGAGTCCTTCCTTTTCTAGGGGACTGGGGTAAAACATCCCTGCAGACTGATTGAAGACTACTTATTTGATATCCATTTGGCATTTTAACATTCAACAAAGCTTCCATTTTGCTCTGCTTTGGAGGAGAAGTCTTGGCAAGGCAGGCATTCTTGATGATTGCTCGGACAAGTCCATTATGAAGGCAGATATTCTCCCTACCCACTAAACCAATGCAGAGCTTATCAAACTCTGATTTGCAAAGCTTAAGACTTAAATATCTGCCAAGTAGATTGAAGTATTTTTCCGCCTTTTCTCGACCAAGCTTCTTTTCAATTCGAAGTTTCAGCTCAAGAGTGTCTATTCGGGAAGAATGCCGCCGGACCGGCATTTTGATTCCCGAATTCATTACGGCCACCAAAATCAAAATTATCAACGAACCACAAGATAACCTATGAACTTCAAACAATACATACCCCAACTCCTCAATGCCAAAATCCACAAACCCTAGTCCATAGCTGTTTTTTGTTTCTATCGTCAAGTCAATCTCAGTGAGAAAAGCCAACAACGGTCGCTGAGATAGACTGGATTATTGAATTCTGTAACATAATGAACAAAACCCATTCTTTGATTAAGCTCAAATCAAATTCTCATCACTTTATTCACAGGTTAATCATTCATTGTGTCAATTAAACACTAAAATTCAAGCAGAACATTCATATGTATATGCACAAAATTATCAATTGCGAACTCCAATTCGGTAAAAGAAATAGTAAAAAAATCACAGAAGCAAAACTATAGATCACATCGGAAGAGAAAATTCAACTTCTACATGAAACCCTTTAATGAGAAAATACAAAGCCATAGAGCAAATTTAGCAACAAAAACAGACACTACAGGTAAAACTAAAACTAACCAGATTCAATGAAGTATTTGATCGAATTGACTTGGGCTTCAACATTTTGACTGCAATTCTTTGATCACTGTGTGATCGAGCTTAGATTATTCGGGGGAGAGAGAGAGAGAGAGAGAGATTAGGGCTTGGAATTCGAAGGTTCTGTAAGTCCTAGGCGGGTCAAAGACACGTGGGTTTTACAAGTAGCGATATATTGAGTAGTGACCGATGTGAGTCTAAGAGCTTGTTTGATTGGGTAGGCGAACGAGCCTGGGGAGAGTTTGATGTGGTGTCGGCCGCACATCAGATTAAAGTCAGTTAGTCGGTGGTTGGTGGTTGGTTCGAAAACAGGTCCGGAGTCTGTGAAAGGCATTAGAAAAGTGGGCTCATTGGCTTCCAGAAGTAGTCGATGGACTTAGGTGGGTGATCCTCAACCCATAATTATTGACCAGATAATATTTAATATTACGGATATATTACGTCGTTATAATCACTTAAATTGGTAATGGAACGAATTCGAATAAACTTAAGTCGAATTTGGTGAGCACTAAATAAATTATTTAAATTTAATTCTTTTAGACAATTATCTAAGCCCTAAAAAAATTATTTCAATTCAAATCTTTTACAAAATTAGTTAAGTCTAAACGAGTCTAAAATGAGTCGAATTCAAATCGAGTTTAAGTATGTACATATAAAGAAGTTAGGTTTGTCAAATTTGAGTTGAGTCTGTCGAACTCGTGCCCTAAACGAGTCGAATTCAAATCGAACTCGAATAATTCGATTCGATCATCAACCCTATCTTCACGTGCTGTAATTAATCAATTATAAATAATTATGTAGGATTAGTGGATTGAAACTATTTTTATACGATTATTGGAGTTCACTTATTCTACTTGTATGTTTATTAATGATCAAAACCACATGGTGATGTGACTTGATATAACGACTATATTGAATATTTACTCCATACTTAGAGAATCTCTAACCCAATTTTCTAAAATAGTTAGTCAAAATATATTTAAATATTACATTCTCTATTTTAACTAATTTTTTCACTCAACATTCATTAACTTCTAATAATTTAAAGAAAATACAATATATATATAGAGAGAGAGAGAGAAAGAGAGGGGGGTAAAGAGAGAATTTAAAGAGGCTAAATGACTCTCTATATTTAGAGAGCTATTTGGGTGAAATGAGAAGTAGAGAGTGGGTTAAAAAGTGTTTTTTGTGTTTGACTAGCTAAAACAGCTAAAAGAGAGGAAATGGAGAATGGGTCGGAGAAAATCTTAACTACCTTATGGTTTTGTTTGTTTGCATTTTTTCTTACCTTTTTTTTTTTTTTTAAATATACTTTATAATAGCATTAATTTTGAGATTCTTGTCGTTATTTTTATTTATTCGGACTTACACCATTCTTTTAACGCTTGTATTTGTGGCATACGTTGCTGCTTAGCAATTAGCAATTAGCAATTAGCAATTAGCAATTAGTAAAGACGCAGGTGGAAGTTGAGTCTAAATAAAAAATGTGTGCATCAATTATATCTAAATAATAAAATAGCTTACAATTCAAATCTCAAAATATAAACAAAATGACTTTTGTTATTCACAGTTGAGATTGCTTTAAATTTTACTTTAAAGTTAATCTAACGGTTAATATTAACGCCTTAAATTTAATAGAAAAAATAGGTCCCTAAGTGTGTGTTTGAAGTAACTTTTTAACAGTACTTTTATAAATTATTTATCATAAATACTTTAAAAAAGAATAGCGTTTGAAACCGTTCCACCACTACCTCTACCACCATCAACGCCGCCATCACCACTACCGCTGCCGTCACCCCCACCCCCACCCCCACCGTCGCTGTCGCAACCGCCATCACCACCACCACTACCACTGCCTCCGTCGCCACTCTCGTCACCACCACCGTTGTCGTTGCCGTCGTGGTCGCTATCACCACCACCCCCACTGCCACCACCACCCTCACCGTCACCGTCGCCCCTACCACAACCACCGTCGTGACCACCATCGTCATCGCTGCCACCACCACCACTGTCGTCACCACCGCCACCGCCGCCTCCACTGTCATCGTCACCACCATCACCACCGTCGCCACCACCGTCGCTACCATCACTGTCACCACGGTTATTGCCACCCACCACAACCATTATTGTCTCCTACCACCACCACTGCCGCCCACTACCTCTCACCTCTACTACAAACCGATGAGCTTAAATTTTTTTATCTATTCTCTATGTTTGTGATTTGATTTTGTATATGAATACAAATATGTTTATTGTTTACCATTTTTTAGTATACTACTAATATGCATCTGAATTACTTCTATATATAGTAATTAAATATAATTTTATTTTTGATGAAATTATTATTACTTAAAAAAGTTATTTAAATAGCTTTATCAAATGTTACATTAAATACGATCAAGTGAGGTAGTCTAGTGGGGTATTGGCCGAACTTTTTAGTTCTTACAATGAGGCTTGGAGGTCCGAGTCTTGGAGTTCACATTGAGGCTCGGAGGTTGACTGTTATATTAACTTAGTTAGGTTCGTTTCTAAGAGGAGTAAAATGCACGGTTAGGAGCCTCATGATCCCACCAGTGAGGCCCCATCAGGATGGTCTCTGGATAGTCTCCTTTGCCTCCATCTCTTTTTTTAAAAAAATGTTACATTAAATCAAATATTACACAAAATACAGTTTTTTTTTTGTCTAATGATTTTTTGTTTACTTGCTCAACTTAATTATGCATATTTGTTTGAGTCCTGTAATATGATATAAGTTGCTAATTTTATTATATAAAATGTATTGCATACAAGTCGATATTTTTCGGGGTCATGTCTTTAGAAAAATTATGTCAATTTTTTTTTTAAAAATAATGGGTCAATATTAATCTGCTAGAACTTATAGTCGTATAGATTAGATTATATCTCAATCCCTACATAAACTCATAATTTGGTTGGTGGAACTTATTGTAATATGGTTGTTGATAGTTTTGATTTGGCTGGTTGGTTGAATTTTTACTATAAGTATGATAAATTTTTTGTTATGTCATGCCTTCAAGCACGAACAATTACTAATATACTAATATGCATATAAATTATTTTTATATATAGTAATTAAATATATTTTTATTTTTATGAAACTATGATTACTTAAAAAATTTACTTATATAGCTTTATCAAATATTACATTAAATTGTTTTGGATCATTTAAAATTGAGCTTGAATTGAGTATAACACAATCGTCCTCGACCATTATTCTGACAATTCTAAATCATAGTTGAATCTTGAATGCACGATTCTCATTAAAGTTATTTCCAATATATTTTATTGTAAAGATTCTTGTATTGGAAATAGCTTCCAAATAAATTGTGTCAAAACAAACTATTTTCTCAAAGCATTCTTGTATTTTGTCAATATACTTTGCTTATATTAACTGTTGCATTAAAATACTTAAACAAACATGGGCAATAATTAATTATATATGCATATAGATAGCAAATGTAAAATTAACCTAAGTAATATGTCACGGATTTGAATTCGGAAATGACACACTTAAAAAGGGTGTAAACCTGTATATCCTTTGCCCCTCTTACACTCTTGTATCATTAAGAGTTTGGTGCACTAGCTATGGAAAACGAGATAATAAAAACTTATAATGTCACAATTAACTTAAAATGATATTTATATTTTTTGGAGGAGACGAAAGGTGGAAGGTTGAAGATGGTCGAATGGAGAAATCATCAGTAGCTGCAAACTGAGATGTGGAAAGTATCCTAGGTTTATGCTTCTGGGCCAAACTATAGGGCATGTAAACTATGAGCAATTGTATATGAACCTAATTTTAAGCTTATGCAGGAATTAATTGTTGTAGAATAATGTGTGGTAAATAATTTCAGAAAAAGAAAGACAATAAATGAAGACAAAGAAGATAGATTGCTAGGAAAAACGCAACACTCGTTATCTTCGAAATAAATTTTTTTTTACTTATAATGCATATGAACTCTTGAAAATTCTACCCCCCAAGATACAATGACTAACTTTAAGATTATTAAAGATAACACTACTTAGTAATTTTGGTACCAAAAACTCAATCTGAATATAGAAAATCAAAAAGAATTGAAGTTTTAGAATGAAAGAGAGGAAGAAGTGTAATTTCTCACTATACTTTGTTACTGCATTTGAACTTTATTTATAGTGTTCTTTTTTTTTTTTTTTTTTTAATTTTTTAAAATTTTTTTAGGGGTTCAACACGAGGTTATAATGTTCTATGCATCACTTAATGAAGGTGTACAACTCTTTAATACAATGGAAGGAAACACCTCTTGGAAGAGTTGTAACAATATAGTCGTTAAAGAGAAAACTCAAACGAAAATTAAAATTTTAACTATCATGTTTAAATGGACTTTTCACATTTGAACAGACCCAACTCTCAATATCTCGATTGTAAGACTTTTTGAGTTTTTTACCAAGTTACTAAGAGCAAGTTATATTCAAACGTGGTTTACATTCCAACGTCACCTCCCTATGTAGGCCTTATCTTTAAAAGGATTTCTTGAGACCTTCAATTAGTGAATGAAGTTCTTCTTCTATTTATAAGAAAAGATAAATTCAAAAAGAACCCCAAGATTCAATGTGAGATTCTTGAATTCTTCCACCAATTCATAACTCCAAATATTTTGGAGGAAAGTGCTAAAGTTTCGGGGCGTGTTTGATTTGCGTCTCAAAAAATAGTATTTGAAAACTGTTTTCTAAGACAAATTTTCAAAAATTGGTTTTAGTATTTTTCGTGTTGCAGAATTTGTTTGGTTATATAATTCCAAAAACTGTTTTACAAAACAAAAAACAAAAAAACATGTTTAGACTGTAAGGCAGAAAATATTGAAAACAGAGATGATGTTTGTATTGAATGTTTCACTAGCAGAACATTATATTACAAATTATAACATAATACAGAC